CGGGCAGGTAGTCTGTAATTTAATCCAAGAAGGATATTATTATCAAATTAGAGTCTCGCAGTGGGTCAAAAGAACGCATTTATTATCAAAATCAAAAGCTCTTTTGGTTTCCTTTCCAAAAGTGCACCAGCCTCTCTGAGTACTATTATCACACTTTGCTTTGACTTTGCATACTTATTACAAATCAGACAGAACCATAAAAAGCCTCATTTTCCTTCCTCCCACCTCCAATATTGTGCATTGGCGAAATAATCCCACAGTGTTGCATATTCGTTCAATCACAGAAGCAACCGCTAGACTTCCTTTTAAGCGTTTGTGTGAGTCGCAAATGTCACTACTTCAGGATTTTGTTTCACTTTGACTCAAATACAAATGTCGGTGAATTCCAAAAACATTCTGAGATTATTGCCATTAATGGGCGACAGTAGCTCAGTTGGTAGAGGGTCGTGGGTTCGAGCCCGACTTTCACCATCGACTCCCACTGTCTGCTGTCGTTGTGTCCTTAGCAAGACACTTAACCTCTGGGAACACCAGCCACAGTGGGGCGGCTGCGGCTGTAAAGTGCCAAACTGTGTGTTGTGTCCTTAGGCAAGACACTTCACCCACATTGCCTAGAATGAGTCTGGTTGTTGGTGGTCGGAGGGGCCGATGGCACATACTGGTTGCCTCGCTTCTGTCAGTGTGCCCCAGGGCAGCTGTGGCTACAGTTGTAGTTTATCACCACCGTGTTTGGAGTGAAAGAATAATGTTGTGTCCAAAAAAGTGATATATAAAACCGATGCATTAAAATACTATACTATGCAATGTGCAATTTATAAATATTGGTCAGATCATGGTTGAATTATCCTTTATTTGTCCCACAGTGAGGCACAACAAAACATAAATTAAATTAAATCTCTATCTTTATCTTACAGAATGGTGAGAGGTTTTTTTGACAATAATTACTTTTACAAGACTAAGTTGTGATGCAGATGTGAAAGACGTCATTTGACTGATGAAATTGTAACTGTATATACATCTGTGGCCCCCCCTGTATGGGAAAGCCAGATCCCATCAGACCTCTGAAGCCAAGCAGGGCAGGGCCTGGTCAGTACTTTGATGGGAGACCTCTGGGAGCTCCAGGTGCCACAGTGGGGCAGCTACTTCTGCAAAGTGCCAAACTCTTGTTGAGTGAATGTGTGGATGGTTGGTGGTGGTCAGAGCGTGATGACATACTGGTTGCCTCACTTCTGTCAGTGTGCCCCAGGGCAGCTCTGGCTACAGAGATAGTTCATCACCGCTGTGTACTGTATGAAACTGATTCATTATTATCATATTTTTTATTGATATATTATGAGGATTTGTCATAGCATAATAGCTTTTGTGCAGAAGGGGAAGGGTGTCATTTTTGATTCATCCCAAACAAGATTTATTGCATATGTGTGATTCAAACAAATGGTTTAATTAGTGTAAAGAGTTTGATTTGTGTGAGAGCTGTTCAAAAGTGTCCATTCCCCATTTGGTGAAATCACAAGAGATTCTTCAATTGCGAGTGGAGGAAACGAGGGTCAGCCTGGATCAGTCAGCTACATCCGCTCTCATGTTGGGGAGGGTGGAGGGGGACGGGGAGAGGCAGGGGTGTAGGGGGGCGGGGAGGGGCAGGGGGGCGGGTCTCGGTGGTTTGTTTTCCTTCTAAAATCCATTTACATTTCAGAGGAAGTGTCCGACTCGCAGACTGAGGCCCCTGGACGATAGGAGATGATTACGCATGCAGCTATATTGCTTTCACTGTGTTTACTGTATGTTAAAATGCTGCTTCCTGCTCCGACTGGAATCAAAGCAAGTTTGTTTTTATAGCTGTCTGGCTTAACAAAATAAGAAAAGAAACATTAACCCTTTATCATTCACTTCTTGAGGAAAGCAATGTATTTTTTTTCTATTTGGCATTTTTTAAGCTGTAGGACTACTAATACCACAATTTGTTTTTACTTTGTTATATAATTATTTTTTTTTTATAATAGGCCTTTATCAAATGGTTGAGAGGCAGTTTGACTGTAAAAGTGCTTTTAAACCAAGTGAGATGACCCAAAGAGGAATATTTTAGTTCCAAGCATGCCTAAAGATACTTTGACTCAAAAGGTGATCGACCAAATGGTTGAGGAAACTATTAAAGGGTTAAAATCACACAAGGCGCAATCCCACGGGCATTGGACCTGCCTCTAACCCTATTCTGATGTATACTGGGGCCTCTCTCTCTCTCTCTCTCTCTCTCTCTCTATCTATATAATTTTGATTATGTTGATATTTTGATTTTAGATACAATTAATCCTCAATAAACAAAATATAAATGCATCATTAGTGTTGTACCTTTAGGATAATACATGGTGGAGCGTTAAATAAGGGGGGAAACCATCAAAGTCACCCAGCCCTACACTAAGGCAACAAGACAGGTTGCCTTAGAATCAAGAACAAAAAAAATATATCTTTTATTTCTGCAGACAGTGTTTCAGGTAACACACCAGAGCACCGCAGTCCATGTAAATGCAATAGTACCCCTCCCATCTCCCATGGACCTACATATTCCCAGAGAAAGGACTTTGATCTGGCAACCCAGCTCCAGAACTGCAGCCTGATGCAACGTCACGATTAGTTTGTTCCACAGTGGGCGGGTCCCTTTTTTTCTTCAACCAATCCCCGCTGTTTTGTCGTGATGAATCCAGGAAGTAGAACAATAACATAATTCAAACCCTCCAGACTTCAAACTTTGAATCCTCAATTTCAGGAATCTTATTTTCAAACCCAGAATGTATGGCTTGGTGAACATCCATGTTGACCGCTTTGTTTCCTGCTTTGTTGAACTACAAAGGGGCACTGATTGGTCAACGGGCTCTGATTGGCCGATTGTTTCTGCGACACCAAACAGTATCAGTAGTGAAATGAAACTGAGAAGAAGCACTAGGTGGCCCGAGCTCAGTTTCTTGCCTTGGCTTTGATTTTTGCAACTGGCTTTTACAGTAACGCGGTTCCCCTTTTGTGGCCTCACTGTTTTTCGTGTTCTTTTTATACCGCGTGCTTCTCTTGCACCGTGTGTTTACTCCAACAACATCACATACAACATCATTAAATCGCTAGTATAACATGACAGTTACTTTCAGTTAAAGTCTAACGCTGTCTTTTTAAAAAATGGCGCTGTGGCAAGAGCTCTGGTGTGCACCATCTCTGTCTGGTGCACACTGGGGTAGAGTCTTGCACAGTTTTTCCAATGTGGTTTTACTGAAAATGGCATATAAAATCTTGAATCTTTCTGTAGCCCTCAGTTCTGCTCCTGCCTATCAGCATCCCCTGAAGATGTATTTTACAGTGTATGCACGGCTTTTGACAGCTGCAGCAGCCCTGTAGCAACAACAAAGTGGTTTGATATCACTGTGATTGCACTTGAGTTCAGCTGGTTAAAAAAGTGAATAAATTGGAGCCTTAAAACCCACCTATAAGTGAATTCATCTACCTGGGTTAGCGCCTACAAACTGTATAAATTAATGTCTGACGTATTTTAGTTTTTTTTGTTAAAGAGAATTGAAAAAAAAACAAAAAAAAACAAATAGCTTGTCGCTGGGGAATTTTTAGAACGTAACCCCAGCAATAAAGGAGGAACCACTGCATAGAAATTTGTTGTAAACTTTCTATTCGCTCTGATTCTTCTCATACATCGCTGGAGTTGCATCCATCTTTCTCCACACGACTCAAACAGAGACAGATTCCACTTCTCTTTGTGCGAGAGGAAGTCAGCGCCTCGTTCTGCTGCCGTGAAGAATATCGCCGGGATTTAACACGTAATGGGGACATGGTTTTAATAAGCGCCAGCGAGAGGAAGTGTGGCGTGTCACAAAGGCGAGAGCGCGTCTTTATGATCACAGGAGGGTTATTGGGCTTTTGATGAGAGCAGCTTTCATGCTCGGCAACAAACCAAAGGAGCTGTGTCTTTATTGTGGTAATAAGTTTGTTTGTCCATGTGTAATGTTATATTAAATGCTACTATACTGTTTAGGCCAGGTGTCTCCAACCTGTGGCTCGGCAGCTACAAGTATCTCCTCCCCACCCAAGTAAGTAATTAGTAAGTAATCTTTATTTATATACCGCCTTTTCACTGCAGATCTGAGTCTCAAAGCGGTTTACAATTGTTACTTTTTTGGGCATTTGTCTCTCACTCCACACAGAGATGAGAGCGGGGTCGCCACAGGAGGCGCATGCCAGAACTATTGTACATATTTTTAGTGGTAGGGGAAACCGGAGCACCCGGAGGAAACCTACGCAGACACGGGGAGAACATGCAAACTCCACTCAGAAAGGCCCTGGTCCGACCGGGATTCGAACCCAGGACCTTCTTGCTGAGAGGCGAGAGTGCTATCCACTCAGCCACCGTGACGCCCAAAAGGGTTTCAAAAACTTTTTTTTCAATATTCTTGGGAGGGTGTGCCCCTTTTTATCTCAAGATTTTATTCTGAAGACATAACAGATATTGTAGCCTGGCTTTAGCCATTGGTAAACTTGGGCTGTAGATAAGTGCCAGTGATGTGAAGAGAATATTAAAGTAATCCGATCTGGTTTGGCTCCAAATATCATGAAATTGAAGCCGGAGCAAGAGTAATGTTTAGCAAATCTGATTGCTGCCAAAGATGTTGTGGCTCTACTTCCCACGGGCTCCGTTAGTGGGAAAGGAGATGGCTAAAGCTAGGCTAAATGCTAAATGCTAGCGACTCACTTGGGTCCATTACATACGTCACAGTAAACTCAAACCCAATCGTTTCAATCTGCAAAAGGATCCCTCCCACCTGTTTACAGAGTTCAATGGAGCTCAATGACCTAAGTACAAACTGAAATGTGTCTGTTGGTGTGGTAAGACCAGGCTACAGAGAATGTGCATGTGTGTATGTGTGTGTGTGTGTGTGTGTGTGTGTGTGTTTGTGTGTGTATGTGCATGTGTGTGTGTGTGTGTGTGTATTGACAGCCTATTGAAGCCATACCTCTTGAGCAGCTCCATATACTCCGTCTGTTTGATGAGCCCCGTCCTCATCATGATGGTCTGAAAACATTGTCGGTCGATGGCCCACAGCTTCACGTCAGTAACGGCTGGAAGGAAAAGACAAACATGAGTATAGCATACATGAAAGTATAGCATACATGAAAGTATAGCATACATAAGAGTATGACCAACGTAATGATTGAAGTAATCAGGTTAATTATTGATCATGGACGTCCTTCTGCCACCGTGCACTTTTACATGGACAGTCTTCAATGACATCTTCAGTTGATTCTGAGAGAGCAGACAACACTGTGCCATAGCTGCTGAATAGACATTTATCATTCATTTATCTTTTTACCATTAAGTCCAAACACAACAAACCTCACAAATACGAGCCATCACGTGTGTTTGGTGGTTGAGACATAATTTTTGAATGGTAAGTAATGAGTTCAAATCACTTCTCTGCAAAGCGTTTTGAACTGTTGGACTTGAAGGATTGAGTTCAAATCCAGCCTCTGACCAAAAAAACGTCTGTTTCATTGTAAAACTTAGATAAATATTTTGATCTGGACAGTGGACAGTGATGTGCTGGGACATTTATGGACATTTATTATAATGTATGGTCATCCCGCTCCCGATGGACAGATGGCTCATATGTGTTTCTTTTTATTATGTGTTCGAACTCTTTGATTCTTTGGTCTGTTGTTGGTAAATCAACAACGACTAATGCTGTGATGTAGGGCAATGCAAAAATACATAGAATTACAGAAAGTCCGTAATAATCAAGAGGTGTGGAGTCTCAGTGTGGAGTCAAATCACAAACTTTCGACTCTTCTTACAAACCGCTCTACTTTCTACTCCAATGCCACCCCCCGCTAGGAGTTGTCCGTTTCATCTTCAGAAACAGAAATGAAATTAGGACATGGCGAGCAAGGAAAATGGAATTCATGTTCTTTCACACTAGTTTTGGACTTGTGTCTGATCAGGATTTGGACTAGAGACTTCCAGACTTCCCTCCACAGTCAATGCCAAACTAAACCAAATCTGTTTAGTTTCCTTGGCTCATACTGTACGTCCAAACACAAGTCTAAAATAACAACAAAAATGAAATACTAAGTGTTGCTATGTGGTCCAGTGGGTAAGACCAACAATTGACCAATAATAGTTGAGTCTTGTTGGACATGGGTTCAAGTTCAGGCCTCCTCATTCCAACACAAATCAAATTAATTTCAAGTGTAGTGTATTTGTATATAGTGGTAATTTCAAGATTTATTTGTGCAGATCTTGTATTTATTTTAATGCATGTCTTTTTCTATGTTTACTTTAATGATAAGATAAACTTTATTGAAATGGATTTTATCTCACAATGAAGACATTTACATTTTTATAACTTGTTTGCACCAAGACCTAGTTTGTGACTTCTGATTCTGATGTACTTTTCAACTTAAAAACCCTGATATTACATGTGACATTCTACATTTGTGTTTGATAAAACTAAATCCTGCATCACAATCGCAATTCCTTTTTGTATAGCCCTAAATCACAACAGCGGTCGTCTCGGAGGACTCTGCAAAGTTGTCAATTCGCCAACAACAGATCAGAGAATCAAACAGTTTGAACACAGGAAATGCAGCCATTGGTCTATACAGTAGGGAGCCAGATGACCAATGTCCATAAATGTCCATTAGACCCTCCTGCATCTGCAAAGAACTATAAAAAAAAAACAGAGGATTTTTACATTATATTTATAAGATCCACCACAAAAGGTAGTGTTAAAGGCGGCAATGTTGCATTATTCTATTTGCTGGGAAGTCTTTTTCCGTCTCTGTCCTGGAGCAAGCGGAACAAATACAGCATTGAGCACAATTAGCATTTCCTCAATTCAATTTATATTGTGGGGATACTGTTCTGCATGGCTCGTTTTCCTACTGATCCCGTTGCATTTTAACGAGCTGAACGTTAGGGCCATTACTTGCATTACGTCTTTTTAAGTCAAAACTCGAGAGCTTTGCAAGTTCCCTGTTTGGCATCTGCTGTAGCCGACTTAACTTTGCAACGCCTGAAACCATTTGCAATTAATTACCCTCGCTTGATTGTGATCTGGCCTGGGCCCGCGGTGCAGTAGACTTCTAAGGATTACAGCGAGATTCTGTCATTCAATCGGAAGCAAGTTGTATTGGGTTTTTTCTGCTAAGACTGGCCACAGGACTCTCGAATCACACGGGCTGAGAACTAACAAAGAAGGCTTGGTCGTAAATTCATTGGGAAGGTTTTAAAGCTGGGGAACCGTAAGCTATTTTTTTCATAATTAGTACTTTTTCCGAACTGAAAAGCATTTTGTGAACATATCACACCAGAAACATGCAATCTTAATGCTGTTATCTTTGGAATACAAAATATCCCTGTGAATATTCCGCTCTTTTGAACTTTTCTGGCTGAAAAATCTGACCTGAGGATGTGACAGAGGCCAAAAGTACAACAAGTTGGATTTTATTAGTACATTTTTGTCCGGTTTGAAAGCTGGATAGCCCTGCTGCTAACATGTACAGAGGTACAGTATACACACAACTATATATTACTTGCACTAGAACTTATAGCATTTTATACTTGCTCCATATTATGCTTATTATTTGCCCTTTATTAAGCTAAATTATAATGCTATTTATTCAATCAATCAATCAATCAAATTTTATTTATAAAGCGCTTTTCATACAAAAAGTGTAACACAAAGTGCTTTACAGTTTAGTTAAAAACAATCCAACATGCCCAGCCCTAAACCCTCCTCCCCACAGACCCCCCAAAACCACATTTATAATTATATATACAACCACATGCGTATACACACACACACATATACACACACACAGACACATATACTGTACACACACACACACATACACAAGTATAAAGTCATATCAGGTAAAATAGGTAAAACAATAAAAAGAAATGGGGCTGGGAGCAGATGTAGCCGGCTGAAGAAGCGTCATCCAAGGAGCCATCTGCACCAGGAGCAGAGAGCCGGCTGCAGCCACAGGGAACAACACAGGACCCAGAGGAGAGAGGGGCCCCAGACCCCACCAGGCCCAGGACTCAGACCCCATAGGACCCAGAGGAGAGAGGAGGCCCCAGACCCCCACCGGATCCACCGGATATTGTTAGCTTTTTAGAATGATCAATTTTATTTTTTATTTTAGCTGCTACTGGACACCTGAATTTATCCTACAGGGATCAATAAAGATTAATCTATCTATCTAAAGTCAGGGGTTTTGTGCTTAAGTCTTGCTTCTTCATTATGCTAAAGCTGGAGATTTCAAGACAAACAAAGGATCTCTTCATCTTTATCTTTAAATTGAAACCTTTATCAGTTTTCGCTTGGTTGTTCGAGCAATTATCATTATACAAAGCCATAATGGAACTACTATTACTCTTGCTATTTTTCTCCCCTGACTTTCACATGTAAGGTCTGTTCGTCATAACCTCACCCACTCTCTCCCCTTTCTCATGTTCTGTCTGTACAATAGCTTCCGTGGTTTTCTCTGCCTTTCATTGCATGTTGTATTGTGTGGAAGTAAGAATGGCTTGCTTTTATCCTTTTAAGAGTGTTACTATACATAGGCGCTATAGAGTAAGGGATGTCTTGAGCCATAATAAGGCCTCAGGAGGGACAGGACAATGCCCAGAGATGCACATACAGTAATAATGTCTCACCGTCACGTTCAGGGCGAGATTTGCTAGTAATGTGTATATGTTGCATAATTTTTCTTTAAAAAATATTAATTCATTGCATTCAGGCTTTTATTATGACAGTTTCGATACTGGTATTTTATATTAAAGTGTTGTACAGTTTCACCAAATGATCCAAGGTTATCTTCAGAAAACCTTTTTCAATTTAATTAGGCCCGAGCCTCGAACGGGGAAAGGGCCTATTGTTTTTGCTCGAGAGATGTCAAATTCTGCACTTTGAGCCTTAATTTCACCCCCTGAACATGCATGAAAAGTTGTAAAATTTTGCCCAAACATCAGACCTGGTGAAAAATGTGATATTTGGGTGTTTATTTTTATGGGACTCAAAAAATGCCAGAACAGCGCCACCTACAACAGCCAATGGGAGTTTCAGAGGTCAAGTTTGTCGTAGAGCCATGAAATTCGGTACACATGTTCCTCAAGTCAAGATACGACCGAAATGTTATCATGGCTCCGCCCTCTGACAAACAGGAGGCCCATAAATTTCAATGCAAAATGGAAAAATTATCCGCAATCATTTTCATACATGTCGGTTGGAAAGCGACTCCTCTTCGGTCGTTTCACCGATTGGCCTCCATATCACTCCACATTGTCTAAACATGTACCATCAAAATGACCTCAGGGATTTTTGATCAGTGAAACGTTGTTTGAGCAGCGGAGCGGCAAAATGTGAGTGTTTTTTGACCGTTTTTCACAACATTAATTTTGCTCCCGTTTGCACAAACAAAATCTGATTTTTACAAAACTTGAATCCAATGTTCAACTCCAGGGTTTAGGTCAGGTGAAAGTGAAATATTTGAAATTGGCCGGCTCGGTGCGGGGCGGCTCGGTGCGGGGCGGCTCGGTGCGGGGCGGCTCGGTGTGGCTCAGTGCGGGGCGGCTCGGTGCGGGGCGGCTTGATGCGGGGTGGCTTGATGCGGGGTGGCTTGATGCGGGGTGGCTTAATTCGGGACGGCTTGGTGCGGGACGGCTTGGTGCGGCTTGGTGCAGAGCGGCTTGATGCGGGGCGGCTTGATGCGGGGTGGCGAGGGCCGTTCGACGCCGCTTGCGGATTTAATTTAATTTATTCTTGTATAGCTCTTAATTATAACCGTAGTTATCCCGGAAGACTTTACAAACTGTAGAATTCGCCAACACAGATCAGATAATCAAATCATTCAAAATCATGAAAGGTAATGATTAACAAAACAAAAAACACATACACAACACGAGTGATGGTCCTAAGGGGCGGATGACCAAATAGAGAAGTAGTAATTACTCTTCCAAAACTAAAAGCCTGGGGGACAGTAGCTCAGTTGGTAGAGCATTGGTCTTTGGACCTTATAGTCGTGGGCTCAATCACATCACGAGCCATGTCATCTGCTCCCACTGATGTCTGCTGTTGTTGTGTCCCTGGGCAAGACACTTAACCCCGATTTTCCTGAAGTCCCCGCTGAAAGATCAAGGCTGTATCTGTGTTGAAGGAGCAGCCATCTTCCTGTGGACCAATCACCTGTAGCGGGATCAGCGAGGGACTGGTGCTTTGTGAATTGGGTGGCAGCTCTGATTGCCACCCCCCTGACCCAGAAATGGATAATAAAGGGATGAAAATGAATTAATGAATGAAAAAGCTATCAAATTGAGTGCTCTGGATGTATCATTAAAAATCTGATTCGAAGTATTCTTGAAAACCCTATTACATCATTTGGGACGGATGAGTTTGTGCTCTGGCTGTTGGGCTGGAAATCATATACAGTATACTGCGTCTGTCCTCGTTCTACAACCTGAGTCCTGCGGCGTGTGGCCTTGGGTCTCGTTCTGTAGCCTGAGTCCTGGATCTATAGCTCGTCCGTGAGTCCTGGATCTATAGCGGATCCCTCTCTCAATGTGGTTTAAGAGAGGGATCCGATCTCCCAGAGGTTTCTCACCTTTTCCCACTTGGTTTTAGATTTTGTTCCTTCAGATTCAAGAGGGTTCGGGTCTAATTAAAAAGGACAGTGGTGATGATCCAGGACACTCAACATTCTACAACAGGCATGTCAAAGTCAAATACATCAGAGGGCCGGACTGGTTCAATGTTTCTCAACATCCAGAGGCAGTGCTGGTGACACCTGCTGGCTCGATAAAATATGCTCTAAAGCTAATCCTCATACTGTACATATTAGATGTAATAGACATCTGAGAACATGAAAATAGTGAAAAAAACAAAGCTAAAACTTGGTGAAATGTAAAAGAGCAGTCTGAACTTCTTTCTGAGCTTTTTTTTTTGCAACAGATAAACGCACATTTTTGGATTTTTTCTGCAGAATGTATTATACTTTGGGAAATACAAGTGGATATTCTTCTTCAATTAACACTTACGGAGAGAAAGAGACAAAGCAAGGATGGGGAAAGTCTAATTTGTTCAAGCAGCAGAAGACAAAAGGTAAATAGCTTTTAGAGACGTGATTTATTTTGTGCCCATATTATGTGTTATATCTTTTTAATGCATATTGTTTACACTTACACATAAATGTAGCTGCGAAAATAAGCTTTAAAATGATATATAGCTTGTGGGTTATGAAGTTCAAAATACATCTGCTATTGCCAGCAGATGTATTGGTTTTCTAGCGAGCTTAAAGGGTCAATACATTGCCTCAATGGCAGGCTATGTCCCGGGGGCCATACATAATTAATTCGCGGCCAAATCCGGCCCGCGGGCCTTGACTTTGACACATGTGTTCTACAACATTTATGGACATTTATCAACATTTATGGACTTTGGTCATCTGCCCCTTATGGATCAATGGCTCTATGTGTTTTTTATTGCATTTCTTGTGTTTGATTCTCTGATCTGTGGTTTTATAAAGTCCTCCGAGATAGCTCCTGTTGGGATTTAGGGCTGTACAAGAAAAAGAGAGAACAGAGAGGCACTAAATGTAACCGTGATGACATTTTATAAATTAAATAAATCATATCGTCCATGTAACAACGATCCAAAAGGCTGCGGGGGAATAGTACAATAGCAGAGAGTGAAACTACAGAGTGTGACCCTGAAATAGCAGCCATCCCCACAGAGCGCTCCTGCAGGGGGACTTGTAATATCAAAATTCATCAGATAAGTCGACTTGGTGTTTTCCCTCACTGTGCCGCGGACTGCTGCAGAGCTTTTCTCCTTGTCCCATTCTTCTGCCCACAGTGTAGTTATTGAT